GTGTGGCTTTGGTGTTAATTTTGCTTGTCGTTTTAGTTTGCTATTTGTTTGATTCTTTTGCAATATATCTACAGTACAGTGGATATAAAACGTTTCCACACCCCTGTTAAGCATCTTTGGAGCATCTTTGCAAAAAGAGCGGGGAAATATTGCCAAGTCAAGATGTGCCTTACTGATAAGACTCATATTCAAAAAGGCTGAATTCTGTAATAAAATCAAAAGGTGCTTCAACAAAGTATTAGTTTAAGGATTTGCACACAGATGCAACCATATTATTTAAGTTTTTTATTTTTACTTCCCTCCACCTAAAAGATTTCAGATGAACTGTTCAACTGAGTTGTACAGTTCATAGGTTTAATTAAAGGTGGAATAAGTTCTGAAATGCCTTATCTCTGTGTCATTTTTTTACATCACATACACTTGACATTTTAACAGGGGTATGTAATCTTTTTATATCCACTGCAGACTTACTGTTTTTAGCTTTTAAATATTGTCTTCTACTGAAGTAAGCTGCCTTGGGTGCTTTATAAAGAGAAAAAGTGGGACAAAACATTTTAAATAAATAAAAATAGTAAATAAACAGCAATAATGCTGGGTTAAATCACAGAAGCCTCTGTGCTGCTAGATCAGAAGACCAGCAGTTGTGAGATTGAATTCATGTGACAGAGTGAGCTCCCATCGCTTATCCCAGCTCCTGCCAAGTAGCAGTTCGAAAGCATGTAAATGCAAGTCGATTAATAGGTACCACCTCGGTGGGAAGGTAACGGTGTTCTGTCTCTAGTCGCACTGGCCACATGACCACGGAAACTGTCTACAGATAAACACTGGCTCTATGGTTTGGAAATGGGGATGAGTGAGTCGGACATGACTGAACTAAATGTCAAGGGGAACCTTTACCTTAGAAGGCTTCAAATTCAATCCCAATTACTAGCTTTGTCAACAATACAAAATTAGAGGGACAAGCAGTTCTCCTGCATCCAGCTTAAAGGATGAAAATATAGTGTCTAACACAGGACTGACTCAACACTGTAAACCAAGAATGACTGAGAGCATCCACATTGCCTACATTTCTCCCTTTTGGTGGTACTTAAACTAGAATAAATCACACATATCGGTCACACTCTTCCACACCCTATCCAATCTTCAAAAGCAAGCTGCCTTTCAGAAGTGCCTGACAGAGGACCATTCCACCATAAGCAAAATCAGAGACAACCCCACATGCCTCCGGAAAAGACTGATTCAGAGAGAAACAAAACAGTATGAAAACAACTATTTATTTGTTTTGAACTTCCAGCAGCCGCTCTTAACGGTTTGACTTGGCCACACGCTCCAACTCGTCCTTCTTCTTGATGGCATAGGAGTTAGAAGAACCCTAGAAAAGGAAGCAACTGAGAATCACAAACCTAAACAGGTGCCCAAGTCTAGGCAATAGAGATTCCTGTATAAATATCTCCCCTAAATCCCACTCTTCCTTTCTCCATCCTACACACAGTGCAGTGGAACTTCACAGCAGCTGAAGACATTGCCACAAAAGGGGCAAGGCTCATACTACAGAAGTCACACTGGGGATGCTGTTAACAGTTGAAACATAAGAATAGCAGAAAGACCTCTTCCCAGCTTCATAGAGGTCTCTGCTGCTGCAAAAGGCCACGATTCTGCTGTGCATTTCTGTAGGTAGCTTACTGATGAAGATTTTAAATAGTGCTAAGCCTGTAGATCAGATGACTTATTTTAGCAAAACCTCACAGTAAGGGTCATAGTAAAAAAATAAGTCTTGTCACACCTCAGACACTGACATTTATAGTGGCATAAACTTTCATGAACAGAACCTTTTCTATCAGATGCATTTTTAATTATAGTGGGGACTTGCTTATTATTATTCTCCAAACCACAATATTTCTCTGTTGGAGGATGCACCTCTACATTGTCTTAAAACTTGTCAAACATGGCCAGGCTCTTATACCTTTTAATCTCCAGCCATGAAGAGACTCCCAGACGCTGCTCAAGCCCAGCAGCCAGACCACCTTAAGATAACTTTGCAGTTACTTCATCTCACCTTAGCTGCGTTGATCAGCTCATCCGCTAGGCACTCGGCTATGGTCTTAATGTTACGGAAGGCAGCTTCACGTGCGCCAGTGCAGAGCAACCAGATTGCCTG